ATGTGGTTGATTGAATGTTTGATGGAATATATTTATCATCCATAGCTGTGTGCTAAGGGTTTAGATCATTGGGTTGGGATTCTCGGGAGAGATTGAGCGTTGAGTGATTAATTGCTAAAATCAATACACTAATCTTCATGGGTTCATGGAGTTGTTGTGGTTAGAAGGGTGTTCTCAATATTAATTTATTAATCCTTGTGAGAAGAGGAAATTGTTGTACTAATAGGTTTAATTTGATATTTATCTAAACATAAAGTTTAAAAACCTATTCACTCCTCTCTAAGTAGTATCAAGCAATCCACACATATCATCTTGAGGCAAGATCCACTTCATATCTTTCACTCCCAAAAAAATAATTGATATCAAAGTGTTGTTGTCCTGAGTTGCACAAGACACTTGTAGGCTTATTTTGTAATTCCTTGCATAACTAGGTATTTGCATTTTAGAGATTTATTGTTACTACTAATTAGTTTTAAATAAAATCTTAGAAAGAAAGAGGTTTGCTTGCATGACCACTTCTCTTTGATGGTTCAAACTTTGCATACTGGAAAACTCATGAGAACGTTTCTAAAATCTATAGATGAAAGAGTATGGGTATGTGTGCAAGAAGGTTGGAGACATTCCATTGTCACCACTCTGGTTTAAGGTGGTGAAGCAGTTGTTGAAGAAAAATCCCCAAAAACTTGGACGAAAATTGAGATTGAACAAGTAGGGTAGAACTCAAAAGGATTGAATGTGATATTCAATGTCATGACACTAAATGAGTTCCATAGGAATTCAAATTATGAGACCTCCAACGAAGCATGTGACATCTTCGTAGTTTCCCACGAAAGGGATTGCCTTAGTGAAGATGTCCAAACTCCAAAAGTACACCTCTCAGTTCGAAACTTTAAGGATGCAAGAAAATGAAACATTTAGTGAGTTTTACGCTAAATTGCGTGATATTGTAATCTCATCTTTTGCATTAGGTACCAAGGTTGAAGATGCATCCATTAAATGAAAAAAACTTGAGATCTTTTCCAGAGAGTTTCATGCAAAGATGACATCCTTAGAGATGAGCGTTAACTTGGAGTCGGTGTCGATAAAAGACCTAATTGGGTCAATATTGAATTTTGAGATGAACCTTCTTCTGCCCAAACAAATGAAGGGTGTGGCATTATTTTTGACTTAAGAAGAAGAGGGTAAATCCGAGTCACCCCTATTAGGAGAAGAGGACCTAGACTTTGTTGCGATGAAGTTCAAGAAGTATTTCGAGGCTAGTAATGCTGAGTCCTCAAGATTGAAAGGAAAGTCTATTAGACCTAGAACTCCTAAGGAGGAAAGAGGGAAAGGGGGAAGAGATTCTCAACAAGATGTTAAGAGCAAAGGGCAAGGCTTCTAATGTTTTAAGTGTCAAGGATTTAGACACATGACTATAAAATGCCCAAATCGAATGATGAAAGAGTCACCCAATGAAAATAGGAGGCTATGAAGGCGAAATGGAGCGACAATGAAAGTGAGTCAACATCGAATGATGACTCATCTTTTCATGATGATGAAGAGAACTTCACATCCTTTATAGTCTCACACTCCTCTCCCCCTAGAGAAACTTCGACTAGTGAAGTTGAAACAAGTCCTACCACGATGGTAGAAGACTTGGAAGAGGAAGTCCCCAAATGTGAGGAGGACGAATAGAGTTTTGAGGACATCAATGATGCATATGATCAATTGTATGAGAAATTCCTCAAATAACAAAAAAAAAAGTGCTTGTCTTGAGTGGTCGGTTAAACTCGAGTGAAGAATAGAGAAAAACACTACATATGGACTTAGTGAAGTCCAAAGCTCAAATTTGTGAGGTTGAAGAGGACAATAAGTCTCTTCTTGATAGAGTGGCTTCCTTGAGAAAGCGTGCCATGAGCTTGTTAAGTCAAAGAAGAATCTTCGGTTTAAATGTGTCACACTTGATAAAGATCTTCATAAATTAAATGAACTCTCTAAAGGACTATCCCTAAGCAATGAAAAGTTTGATAGAATGTTGTCTATGAAAAAAAGTGTGAGTGACAAGCATGATTTAGGCTACCAACACTTCTTCAAGTCCGTGTTTGTGAAGGGTAATTCCAACCCATCACCCCTACGAGTCAACACTAGTCCACCAAAGACTAAAAATGGTCAGGTAAGAGCTTAAAGAAGCAGGTTACTAAAAAAACCCAAGTCAGTCATCATATGTGATTCACTTGTAGAGAATATGGTCATCATAGTAGACATTGCATGAAAGAAAGGGATACCTTAAAGAAGAAGCTCATGCGTCTAGTGAAACAATCCAAGGCTTTAAACAATCAAGTTATGAATTTTTCTAAGCTATTGGAAAGGTCAAGTGAGTCCAAGCATATACATGCATCATTATCTAAAGGACCACGTGCTAGAGTGCACAAAGCTTCTTCTCCTTCAAAGGTCAAGATTGATCTACACACACTTCCAGAGAGAGGAGAGTTAGTCCTCCACCCATTCCCCGACTAGACCTGAGTTTTTTGAAGGAAAAACAAATATAGGTGACTAGAGAGGAGTTTGAAAAACTCACCATCTCAACCAAGTTGGTTGCCCTGAGTGCTTCCAACAAGGTCATGGCACCTAAGAAGTAGATGAGGTGATATAGTATGAACCTAGGTGATCATTCATGCATTGCATCAAATATCCTAGGGTCATACTTTGTAAAAAAATTTCTTTGTCTATTTTTTATTTGTTCTCTTAAATGAAAAATCAAAAAACAAAAGAAATATAAAAACCCAAAAAGAGTTTTGATGTCAAGTTTGACATTCGTTTTAGTATTTAAGGTAGTTACTTTTTTTTTCTTAGTTTATTGCATGATTATGCATATATTTCTTTGTATATGTTAATAAAAAAATACAAAAACATAGGAAAAGAAAAGACAAAAAAAAAAATTCTTTTGCTTATTTTCTTGTTATTAATCATAGTAATTCACACTTTGGTTTGTTTTATAATGGTTACATCTTTAAATCAAAGTTTAAATGTACATTGCTATGAGTCATATTAGGGATTGAGAACTTAGTGGCATAAATCTTAGTGCGTGATCCATGAGCCAAAATCTCTTTCACCCTAGCGTGCTTGGATAGTGTTTACCTTTGTACGATTCATAAACTAAGTACATGCTAACCATTCACCTTCATACTTAGGAGTCTTGTTAGTTTAAATGATTAATGACCTTACAAGACTCTAAGTATTGGTGATAGGTGCAAACATGTGTAAAGGATAGTAAAACCCCAATTCCTTAAAAGATGCCAAGGAGACAAATGTGAGAAAAGAGCCCAATAAGGCCAAATCTAAAAATATGAGGTATAATAAATGGCTAAAATCAATTGCACTTGAATTGTTGAAAGTACTTATGCTTAAAATTCATTGCTCATTTGTAAAGTTCAAAGAGTTCATGCTAAACATGTTTAGAAGCATTTTTCACTAGTACAAAATTCACAATCGTTCTAATTGAAGTCATGAGAGAAGAAGATAAAAACGATAGGGGGATTTGTCTAAAAAATGATTAGGGCACTACTAACCGGTCATGTATTCATTTAGATGAAGCATTAGGATTCTATATAGAGATTATTAATGATTTGAACTAAACAGAATCCTTATTTTGTCAGAGTTTGGTTTCACACATGTTGCACTTGAATTAGTCAAAATTGTACAAAATGTAAACACGTGTGAGTGAAATTGAATTAAGTGAGGAAACATTGCTCTAGGATGCATGAAATTGATTTCAATATTCTTGAATATGCCCTGGAGTAATTTAATGAGATGATAAATTTTGGATGGAGCTATTATAATGTCAACATAAGTGATTTTCATGATTTATGACATGGTGCATTTTAATGTTAAATTGAAAATTACATTACATATTGATCCAATTTCATCTATACATGTGCATTTAGTTACATTTAAGTTATATATGCACCCATGCATGCATTTGGGGCTTGAAGGATGATCAGGAGGAATGAATGAAGGGTCAGGATTGTCTGTTAAAGCATCAAGGCTAAGCTATCAAAAACTAATAGTTTCAAGGACCACTCGAGCAACCTTGCAATCAGTCAACGCCCTAGGATTTAAAAATTGGTTTTGAGGGCCCCTTTGCATTCCAAACACTCCCATACTCATCCCAAACCTCCCAATTTCCAAAACCTTTAGTCCTAAACATTCTCAAACATGTTCTACAAGCCTTATAAGGTTGATTCACTACTTGATCTACATACATGAAACCTAGATTCATCAAGTGTTTGTTAAAATGCCTCCACATAGAGATAACAGGCCTAGTGTTTTAGAAGTTCCAAAAGAAGTCGAGGAGAACTTTGATGAGAGCACTTAATTTCAGGATCAAGATTTTGCAGAGAGATACAGGCTAGAGTATTCTCTTAAACCAGTTATGGTTGAGCAAGGGATTGACTTTATTGATGTAGATTCTTGGATCTCTTACAACTTTGCCAATTGAGGGTGGACCAGATTGTTCGAGGCACCATGGCCAATGAACGAGAACATAGTGAGTTCTACACACATATACGAGATGTCCATATTCATGCTAACCACTTTGTCACATATGTGCGAGAGATTGATAATCATTTTTTCAACTACTTTCATAGCCACCATTCTAGGACTACCCAGGGAAGAGAATGATGTCCTGAGTGCGAGATATGAGGAAGAGATGTCTCCTGCTCATGTTTTGGCCGTTGGATTGTATGGTATTTCTCATCTTGATCATTGGACTACCTAGAGATTTTATCAAAAAAAATGATTCTAGTTTATAGGATGTTGAATATAATAGACAATTATTCCCACGACCCAAAATCCTATATTTTTGACCTTCCTATCCATAGAGCACATGTGTTACATGCCATAGGGATTGGATTAGATCTTGGCCTACCCTTGATGATATTGGGATTGATTCAACAACCTTTTAAGGAAAGGAGAGTGTCTGGTAGCCAACCTTTGAGGTCATTGATTACTCATATTTGTAGAGTCAATGATGTAGTAGTTTTACCTAGGGACAAAAGGCAAAAACCCAAGAGGCTTTTGAATAAGAGGACATTGAAGAAAAGCAAGGCTAAGGCTGAGTATACTATAGTTGTTGAGCAAAGAGAAGATGAGATAAGGAATCCACATGTTGAGACTGGACCCATACACCAACACTAGTTCACCTAGAGCCTAGTAGTTCTAGGCCACAACCACCTGAGTTAGGTTTAGACATCCTTGTAGCTTAGTTGGCATCATTAGTTGACAAGCTTACAATGGTAAATCATATTATTGTAGAGAATCAACGCCTCACTTTTCAAATTTTAGATGCATTAGATGCCAAGATTGTGAGCCTTGAGGAGACCCAATAGTCTGTGATGGGATCAGTTGCATGTAGAGCTGGGAGACTCGAGAGATTACTAAAGGCAAATATATTGAAGGCGAGCCTGTGCCAGACGACATTGATTCATATTTGGAGCTACCCCAATGCAACAGTGGAGATGGGGGATGTAACGCCCCAAAATTCACCCTGAAAGACATTACTATCTACAAATCATCTAACCATGAGAGCAACTAAAAATAACCATTAAGTAATAAATCATTCATCCATTTGACAAGGAATAAATACTAGAACCAATAAAAAATTGAAACTTCTCCAACTTATATTCAAAACCAAGAATATCTAGCAGCAGAATAATAAAAACTAGCTAAAACGTTGTTTCATAAAAATCTCTCAAACTCTAAACCAAAAGTAGATCAACTCTATTCCTCTAAGATAGGATCCACATCTCGAACCTCCAACGGCTCATAATCAATTTGCTCATCAACATTGGCATCCTCTTCTATGCCAAAATCTGTAAGTGTGTTGTAGGGGGTGAGCAAAAGCCCGTAGGAAATTCCTCTCAAATCCCAACAAATTTTTAAAACAATAAAAAAAAGGCAAGTCTCTTTTGAAAAATAGCATACATAAATTTTTGAGAGTAAAACCATGACAGTTGTAATGATCTCAAGTGTATGGAATATAATAAATCAATGAAAGGAATACACATGTTATAAATTAAAGCATTCAACAAATAACTCAGTAGCATCCCATATTTTCATGTATGTTGGTTCATCCTCATTCTCATGTATGTTGGTTCATCCCCATTCTCATGTATGTCAGTTGCTTCTCAGGAATCTACACAACGATTCTACCTTGTTCACCCATCACAACTAGACAAACTCAATCATTCCCTGTAGAGTCAAATCACAAACTAGTTTAGGAATGACATATACTGTCTCCTACGGTATTGACGAATCCTTCTAAGGAAAGGTATATCATCTCTCAGTCTCGAACTTACGTGAACAATAGTGGTTGCTCTCGCAAACAACAATCCACTACAACTGTTAGGCAACCATCTCACCCTCATTGGGATATACTAACCTCTAATACTCTACGGCAGCTCTCGAAGGCAATTTAAATCCATCACACCCAAATCATACAAGAGATGAAATCACAAATTTCTCAACAATCACAATCTTAACCAATCACAATTTTCATTAACAATTCAAGTATCACAAGTGCACAATTCTCAATATACTACATTACTAAAGGAATTAAAATATGCAAGAGATCATCTTAAGAAAACATTCACAATTTCGATATCAAAATTCTAGAGTTTAGCCAAAAATCATAATTTCTTGGAACAAGAAAACATATTAGATGAAAATATAATTTAATCAATAATAGGAATTTAGAAATCAAGAATCCATATGAATTTCACAATAGAACATGTATTTGGGAAAAAACTAGGGTTTTTGGAAAATTCCAGAACAACTATTCATTGAACCCAAACATATATTTTATTCAAAACTATGTTCCAATTGTAAAGAAACCAAGAAATATATTTATCATATAATTATCAAGAAGATTGAAAACTTACATAATTATACCCTAAATCTCAATGAAAGAATTCAAGAAGAATCCCCTACCTTAATTCCATAGTTTGTGTATAAACCTAGCATGTTTGATCCATTCCAATATGACAATCCCCCTTTCATCTTGTGTTTTTCCTCTTCTCTTTTGCTCTCTAAGGTTGCCTAGTGTTGAAGACTGAAGAAAATAGCTAAAAGAACATCCTTATGGTATTTATAGGGTGAAAAACGGAGAAAAACTCTAAAACTGAGAGTGGCCATTTTTGGTGTAGCATCCGAACAGTCCTTGGGCGTCCGGATGGTTCAAAGTCACTGTTGTTGATGAAAAATAAAGCTTTTGGGTAAGGAGTACCGTTCAAATGGTGCTTGGAGCGTTCGGACGGTGGCTGCTTTCTGTCCCAATTTTAGAAGTAGTTTTCACCTATTTAGGAGTCGATTCAGAAAATTTTTTTGAAATATACTTTTGTAGTCCTTGAAGTCTAGTTTCTACTATCTAAAAATAAGCTCCATCGGAGTTAATATTAAAATTTTATGGCTAAAATACTAAGGTAGTGTCAAATTTCTTCCTATCCGAATTCTTTCTAAAATGCGGTTTAACTCTGAAATACCTTATAACTTCTAATACACCTCATATTACCTCTCCCAAGGTTTCTCAAACTTCTGGATTTAATGGAGGCATTATTTTGACCTAAAATTATTTAGAAACCTACCTAATCACTATTTTCAAGCTTATGCACCTTCAAAACTAAGTTTAACCCGAAAGTCAATTCGTCTGAAACTCAAACTTCATGATCAATTTTTTAACAATGATTTGGGGTTTCTACAATATTTTTATTTATCCTAAGAGAAATATTAATATGATATTATTCTTATTTAATTCTAGTACAGGGTCTTACAGGGGAGGCGATGCAACCACTTGACCTGTTTAAGAGACTTTAGTATATGACCACATCGGAGTTTATGAGTGTTTTGATTCATTCATAGTTTGTACTTAAAGTACTCTCTCTCTTTTTTTTGATTTTTTCTTTTTGTTGACTTTTATTTGTTTTGTTATGACATAGTCTTAGTTCTTACTATTCGATGCTTATTCAGTTAGACTTTGAGTTATATGTCTTTTTTGCTTGCTTTGGATGCCTATTTTATCTAGTTGACTTTTATTTATACTTTCTTGTTATACCATGATTCTATGTCATTTTTTATGTTTTTTCCCGAATGACATTTTCTGACAAATCATAAAGAATATGTTAACATAACTTGATTTCACACCTTGGTTGTTATGATATGTTATTGGTTTGACACTTTGAGTCAAAAAAAAGGGTGGAATATTTTGGGTACATATGGGAGAATTCAGGGAGATATTCTCTTGGCTAGCTAGGTAGTTACATGTGAATAGAGTAAAAAGGAGTTTGTTCTAATACTCAAAGGAAGTATTTGTACAAACTTGGCATGAAATCACCTATTTTATATTGTGTATTTTAATTGTGAACTCCAGCTAAGTGGGAGAACTAGTTGTACATTGTCATCCTAAATCTAAAGGTTCTCAAGCATATTGGGTAAGATATATTTTGTATATGTTACATATTTGCACATGCATAATATTAACATGAATATACCCTATGCTTATCTTGGTGATTTTCATACTTCTGATTATGTTATATCTTTCATACATATTATGTTTTTATAAGGTATCGATTTTCTTACTTGTGTATTTTGTTACGAAATACACAAGCATTACTTGGATGAAGGAGATCATGCGTCAAAGCTACATCAAAAGCACTCTATATGCATATTCTTACTTAGGACAAGGTAATCACATGGAGACCTAAGATGATCCCTCAGTTTAATAGACTTAGGAGTATTAGTGTTAAAATGAAATCAGTATTAGATCTGAGAATGAATCCTAGGTGTTTGTTAAAGAAATATTTTTCTAAACCTTTTGTGTGTTCTGAAAACATAGAATTGAGTCATCATCAGATTCCTCTTGAGCAACACCCCTTAGTGTTCAAGAGGAAGAGTTTTTTGCTTGGTTTTAGGCTTAAAAAACCAGTAGGAACCGCCCTTTGCTTTCTAGCCTTTGCTAAAGCGATCTCTTCACGACTTTTGGAAAAAATCAGGTAACGGCTAAACGAAAGAAAACATAGGTCACCCTCAAAGGTCACTCGAGCATTCCCTTCGTCGTTTGAGCAGTCCTACTCTTCTAGGTCGATTTGAAATTTCATTTTAATTCCAGTGACCACCGCCCTATAACCGCCCTCCCATTGCTCGAGCAATCGTTCACGAATTTATGCTTTCTTATTAATCAAGATTGCCCGTAATCCGAACCTATAAATAAGGAAAGCCTTTTCCAACCTAGGGTATCACTTTTGTGAGATGAATTCTTGCCTCTTACACCTTAGAGATCGATCACACTCCAAACCTAGATCCCTAAACCCAAAGTCTACCATCTTGCAAATCTCATCCAACCTCACAAATTGGAGAAGATCTTGATCAATTGAAAACCAAACCCATTGGAAGTGTGCATACTGAGGTTTGTGGGTGTGTATTGTAAATGCTCGAAGGCTAGAGGATCTATTGTGGTGGAGAATCCAAGTAAAACTACCCAAGACATTGAAGAGGCACTTTGGTGGAGAAGCTTATTAAAGGAAGGGAGTATCTAACTATAGTATTGATTGAGGTATAAGACTCAAGTACTTTTAAGCTGAAATTGGGGTAGTGGATTAGGCTTTGTTGAACCCTAAAGTGGTTCCTTGCGGCTTTTCCTGATGAGTGTTTCCATGTCAAGAAATTAGTGTGTCAATCTTTGTTAGTTTCATACAAACGTACACACACACACTATATGACTTATTGAATGTTTGATTGAATAAATTTATCATCCATAGTTACGTGCTAAGGGTTTGGATCATTGGGTTAGGATCCCCATGAGAGATTTAGTCTTGAGTGATTAATTGCTAAAATCAATACACTAATCTTCTTGGGTTTATAGGGTCATTGTGTTTAAAAGGGGATGCTCACTATTAATTGATTAATCTTTGTGAGAAGAGGTAATTATAGTAGTAATAGGTTTAATTCGGTGTTTGTCTAAGGATAAAGTTTAAAAACTTATTCACTCCCTCTAGGTAGTGTCGTGCAGTCCATGCTTATAATCTCCCCCTCCCAGAACAATACTCTCACATGAAAGAAGGCACTATACCAATGAAATTTGAGTCTATTTATGCTAAGACATGGCTTATTAACCTATGGTGTAACAGGTATGTTCGTGTTTGGTT